CAGACGAGGAAAGTGTGAGAGAGGGGGGGGGGACAGACAGACAGACAGACAGACAGACAGACAGACAGACAGACAGACAGACAGACAGACAGACAGACAGGAGAGAGAGAGAGAGAATTCCGTACCTCTCTTTGGTTTTTCTACTGCAAGATTCCGAGTTATGAAAAGTCACCTTTGACTGTCGACATCATCATAGTTAACGACTGTCGCTGACGGACGCGTTGTCAGCAGTCTCAACTACTCCTCATTTTATTTTGCTTATCGGAAGACATAATATCGCATTGCATTCTTTTGGTACAATTGTTGATGCTGTCAATATTGAATGATTTTACATTTCTGCCTCTCCTTATCTCTTACATTTTCGCATTCGTGCTCGCATTCAAATTATGAATTGTGCAAGACTGTAACTCTTTAATTAAGCTCCCCATAGCACTATCTGTTTATGTAGAGGCGAGCTGATTCGATCCTGCCTGCCAGGGCTAACCGGGGCTGAGTAGGACACAATATCCTGGCCCTCAGATGGAGATACTCGATTTTGAAACAATTTCCTCTCGAAGAAAAAGAATAAAACTCGGGGATGAAAGTAGTCAAGTGCATGTATTTTGCATGTGACGACGAGGAGCCTAATCATAACACGAAAGGTATGCTACCGGACTCGTAATCGTGAAATTTGCGGGTTCGTGGGATCGAGACTCAGTTAGGTCCTTCGTTGTGGTTTTGGGAAAGTCAATTTCCATGAATTTTCCAATTTAGCTGGTTTCTATTGGAGAGGGACGTTAAAATCGGGCGGAGGTCTCGTCTCTAAAATAACTTTGGAGTGTTGCAAATGGCATTGTCTGATTATTTGCTTTAAACATTTCCCACAGGGACAATAAACAATAAACCTATCTCATGTCTGTACAATTTCGCACATGTTTGTCTCTCTCTCTCATACATTACAGCTGCAGCGAGTGGAAGTCCAAATGCTCCAGGAGTCTGGCCGTGAAACTGACATGTCCGTTTTCGTGCGGCAAATGCGAGGAGCCGCCGGCCCGGATGGTGGCAGACGCCCCCAGGAAGAGACGCCGATACACCAGCTACCACGTACAGGGCCGAAAGCGGAACCCCAAGAGTTACCACAGAGGTCGCCGCGCACGGAGACTTAGGAACAAAAAGAGGAGGTATGAGTATATGAATAATAACTGCTTGTCGTTGTTATAAGTACTGATGATTGGTTTGATTTTGAGTAAGGATAATAGTAATATGATAATAATATGTAGTCATTTCGTGAGCGATGGGTCTCTGAGGGAGGGACTGGAGAAGGGGGAATGGGTGAGGTTGAGTTAGTTTTATATTTTTGTTGGTTTTCTTTTTCTTTTTTTTTCTTTGTCTTTTTCTTTTTTT